AAAATAAAATAAAATAAAAAATAAAAAAAAGTATGTATTATAAGTAATAAATGCACTCATTTACTACCCCATTAAATCTATCATAATATCTAAAAATCATAAGTCAAACTATCCTAAGTTGGCGACTGTCTATATTAAAAATATTTAAGAGTTATGGTTTGAATGTTTGTGCCCTCTCCCAAATTCATGTTGAAACTTAAACTCTAGTGCAACAATATCAAGAGGTAGGACCTCTGCAAGGTGAACAGGCCATGGGGGCTCTGCCCTCATGAATGGGATTAGTGCCCTCATCAAAGGAGCTGAGGGCTCTTTTGCCCTTCTAACCCTTGCATAGCATTCAGCCCCTTCAGAAGATGTAATAAAAGACACCGTTTTGAAAGCAAAGAGCAGTCCTAACCAGACACAGAACAACCTGGACTTCCCAGCCTCCAGAACTCTGAGAAATTTTTGTTTTTGTTTTTCCCCCAGTAGAGACAGAGTCTCACTTTATTGCCCACAGTAGAGTGCCGTGGCACCACACTGCTCACAACAACCTCCAACTCCTGGGCCTAAGCGATTCTCTTGCGTTGGTCTCCTGAGTAGCTGGGACTACAGGCGCCCACCATGATTGTTGTTGCAGTTTGGCCGGGGCTGGGTTTGAACCTACCACCCTTGGTATATGGGGCCAGCGCCCTACCCCCTGAGCCATAGGCGCCGCCCAGAAATTTCTGTCCTTTACAAAGTACCCAGTCATAGCTATTTCCTTAGAGCAGTACAAATGAACTAAAATAGGAAAGATTTAGAATTAAGTATAAAAACATTTAAGGGAATCAAAACCATAGTTGGGAAAGCCTCATAAGAGAATGGCACTAAAAAGTCCAAAGGATGTTAAAGTCAGGTGGGTGTCTGGGGGACAGCAAATGCAAAGGCCTTGAGGTGAAGGAGACAAGGAGATGTTGGAGGCACATCCAAAAGGGATAGGAGAGCAAATGGGAGACAGTCAGAAGGGAAGGCAGATTATGAAAGAAGCCGGATATGGTGAGACCAGATTTTGTAAAGCATATCCTTCGGCTTTTTTTTTTTGAGACAGTCTCACTATGTCGCCCTGGGTAGAGTGCTGTGGTGTCACAGCTCACAGCAACCTCAAACTCTTGGGCTTAAGTGATTCTCTTGCCTCAGCCTCCCAAGTAGCTGGGACTACAGGGCACCCGCCACAGTGCCCAGCTATTTTGGGGTTGTAGTTGTCGTTTGGCAGGCCCAGTCTGGATTTAAACCCATCAGCTCGGGTGTACGTGGCTGGCGCCCTCGCTGCAGAGCTACACGGACCAGGCCTATCCTTTGGCTTCCTTTGGCTTTTAATCTGTGTAAGACTGGGAGCTGCTTGAAGATGGGAGCCACTGACTAATTTTAGGCAGAGAAGTGACAAAAACTTCCCTCAAGGGATTCCACACACATCAAATCCTTTAAATTTATTAACATATCTTTGTGTCACTAGCAGGTTAAGCCTATTAGGCAGAAATTCTGTTTTGTCTAAAAAAATTCAAGTGATAGAGGATGAATCAAGTTCTATTTTATTTTCCAATGTTTCTGCTAGTCCCAAACCATTATCATAGCAAAGCTGGTGATTTCAAGGCTATAAGGTCTGGCTGGTTGGCCTCTTTCCTGGGGTCCGAAATTTACATGGCCAATTGATAGAAGATATTTGCCCCAGGAAAAAGCCCCCATACCCATACTGTCTCCTCCTGGTATGTTACATTTGGCCAGATTCTCACTTCCCAATTAGCACATGATTGGCCAGGGAGGTTCTCAGGAGTAGATATCTGATCTCTGGCTATCAGCGAAGGGCTCTCCACGCCACACCAGGAGACCTGGAAGATGATTGGAGAGGAAGCTTGCTGAGAATTTTGGATGCTTTGCTGAAAAAGATCAGGTAAGGTTCTTGGAGCAGGGGAGCATTGTGTCGATCTCCCTTCTGGAGATCCCACCAGGAGTGAAAACAGAGAAGGAACAGGGACTGTCACCTCTAGTCTAGAGGAGGAGACTCTGTACTTAATGTGTGTTCCCTCGTTTGCGAAGTGGAACAACCATCAGCCTGACTTGGGTTATTTTATGAGAAATTAAATTAAAAATTCATATAAGTGACAACACTCCGAGTACTAAATAAAGTTCTGCAAATATAAAGGTTTGCAAACATAAAGGAAGAATAGAGGTGATACTGACATGTGTAGTTAGAAGCCCCCTAAGTGCGAAGCTACGGCTTCCAAACGCATCTTGGACTAATGCGCAGTATGTATTAGCACGATCAACAGTAAATAGCTCATTTGAAGGAGAAGGGAACAAACCGCTGTCTAGCTTGCAAAAGAAGCGGTCTACACAGGTAGAAGATGAGTATGTACGGTTCGGTCATGACACAAATAGTTGGAGCTCAAATATCTGTCTGGCGTTAAGTCTGCCTTCGGTTCTAAGCCCAGATGTGTCACATCATGATGTAGAAGCAAGGATGGCGGATGCACTGGGAAACTCGGGCTGCTGCCCTGGGAGCCACCCTTCCGAGGCAGCGCCCCCGCCTCGCCCCGCGCGCCCCACCGGGCTACCGCCCGTCACTCCGCCGCGCAGCCCGAGCTGGCCCGCTGCCGACCCTCCGGAGTCGGCGGCGCCCGACGGCTGCAGACACGCCCGGCGCCGTCCCCGCGCGGCTTCCCGCC